AATTTTATAGTCTAGTTTTTGTACTTTTGTTGAATAGATAATATATTTAAATTTTACATTTTAATTTTAGCATACACGTTCACATTTAAACGTGCCCCAGGCTCACTGGTGAAATGTGTCTAAATAAAGAACTTACTTACTTACTTACTTACTTGTACTTACTATCTCAAAACTTTCCGCCACTTTAAAACACAGAGGGAAAAAAACTTTGTAATGATGACGTCAATCGTGCTTCTGTCCTCTAATAGATCATAGGCGAGAACCAATCAACATACAAGAATAACTTGGGTTATTATATAACACGCGATAGAAATCTCGAGCTCATAATCTACTTGTTTAATAAAAACACGGGTGGAAGTTTGGGAGAACGAGAAATGCTGAAGGAAAACGAACCGTAGGCGAATGTTTCCACAGCTTTCTATAACTCGATAGAAACACGGAGAACATGTTTTCTATTTCCTTTAGAAAACACCGCAACAAAAAAGGGAAACAGCTTGTTCATTTTTATCATCAAAATGTAAATTCTCTGCTATCATTACGTCAACAGCTCCTAATAATTCTGTGTTTCTATCGAGTTATAGCAACACGATTTTTAACCAATCAGCGCACGTCTTTTCATAGGGTTGTTTTCTAAATGATAATAGCGACATAAGCATAATCGTTTTATATTTATGCTTAACGAAGGAAAAGATGGCAATGTTATTCAGTTACGACGCAGCATTAGGGTACAAACAGAAGTCGCTCTCCGTTCAAAAGGTGGACGGCAAAAAGTTCATTGAGACAGAAATTTGCCCTCAAGCTGGAGACACCATCTTGGATTTAGGTTGCGGTACAGGAGAGCTGTCTGTATATCTCGCTGAGCTTGTAGGACCCGAGGGAAAGGTTGTAGGTGTTGATCCTGACAAGGAAAGAATTCTACTGGCTCAGCACTCTTACAATGATATCAAGAATCTCTCATTTGTGGAAGGAAACTCTTCAAACTTCCCAGGAATTGACTCTGAGTCATACGACATTATCTTCTGCAATTATGTCATCCACTGGATTCCTGACAAACAAGAACTCTTCAACAATATGTTTGAAAGTCTAAAGCGAGAAGGGAAAATAGCCTTTCAGTACGTTGATTATATTTGTCCTTTTGTATCCAGCGCTCTCAAGGAACTTAATCCCGAGAACGCTGAGAAAATTTTTGAGATGTTCCATTGCGAAGAGAGGCCCAAGATTGAGCAATACTGTTCCTCCGCCGGATTTCGCATCACTGAGAGTTACGACACCCATAGCACACAGCAGGTTTTCCAAACCATTGACAGCCTTCTAAACTGGCTTTGGTCGTCAACACATGGTGCTTTTGATCCTAAGCTTGTAACCGAAGAGCGTTTGCAGAAATATCATCCGTACTCAAGCCGAGATGGTAAACCTCCGTTTGACTTCAGAGGAAGCAAGGAAGAATCGCGTGTTTGTCGACTGGTAGCTGTCAAGCAAGGGCCTAGAGAGGTAGAAACAGTCCAGAAACACTCTCAGACTTAATGCTATATCTAAATTTTCGCTCCTAGTGATCAAAGGAAGAACAAGAGAATCTGGTGTTTTCTTTGCATGCGTTTAACCTGAGGATTCGCGAACGCCCTCGACTTAAACAACAACTTGTTTTATTTGCATGTCCATACTGATACATACAGTGCTGCAAAAGCTTTTGTAAACTAAAACTACAATAATAATGGTACGTTATACTGAACATAAAAGAAGGTTATGATGTAGCAATCTAGTTATATCGGTTTGATTTATTAAAGAATATGCGTTGATCAAAGCAAGATAAAGTGAATTACTGGCAAGGAAGAATCGTGTGTTTGTCGACTGGTAGCTATCAAGCAAGGAAGAGATAGAAACAGTCCATAAACATTCTCAGATTTAATGCTATATCCTAATTTTTAACCCGAGTGATCCGAAATGACTACAACGTAACACGAAACACGAAGGACAAGAGCATCCGTGATGCTTTTTGCATGATTCTAACGTGAGGGTTTGCGAAGGCCCTCGACTTTAACAACAAAAGTGCGTCATTTGCATGTCCCAGTAAGGATACACACAGTGTTGCAAAAGCTTTTGTGAAATGAAACTAAAACAATAATTGTTATCGTAAGAATTTGATGATGTAGCAATCAAGTTACATCGGTTTGATTTATTAAAGAATATGCGTAGGTGAAAGCAAGATCAAATAAATTAACATAATGATTTGTAGAAGTCATAAGTTTGCCAATGAGTTTGTCCTCAAGCTGGAGACGCCATCTTGGATTTAGGTTGCGGTACTGGAGAGCTGTCTGCATATCTGGCTGAGCTTGTAGGACCACAGGGAAAGGTTGTAGGTGTTGATCCTGACAAGGAACGGCTTCTACTAGCTAAACAGTGTTACGGTGAAGTCAAGAATCTCTCATTTGTGGAAGGAAGCGCTTCAAACTTCCCAGGGATTGGATGGGAATCATATGACATTATTTTCAGTAATCATGTCATCCACTGGATTCCAGACAAACGTGAAGTCTTCAAGAATATGTTTGGAAGTCTTAAAAGTGGAGGGAAAATAGCCATTCAGTACGGGGATCATCTTTATTCGTTTGAAATAAGCGCTTACAAGATTCTCAATCCTGAGAACGCAGAGCGTATTTTTGATATGTGTCACTACGAATTAAAGAAAGGGCCAAGATAGAGGAATACTGCTCCACCGCAGGATTTCATATCATTAAGAGTTACGACACGTGTTGTACACAGTTGGTTTTCAAAAGCATCGAAAGTCTTCTCAATTGGTTATGGTCGACCGTACACGGTGTCTTTGATCTTAAACTGGTAACCGAAGAGCGTTTGCAGAGGTATTATCAGTGCTTGAGCCGAGATGGTGAACCACCTTTTGACTTCAGAGGAATCAAAGAGGAATCGGGTATGTCTCGACTGATAGCAGTAAAGCAAGCAACTGCAGGAGACAAACCATAAGAGACAAACCGTCAGAGTGGAGTGTAGCTTTGTTGAACACTTAAAATTTTGAACAAATTTGACCACAACAGTCTGTAAATATTAATTAAGGTGGTATGGTACCCTCAATATGGACCAAAAAGTTTGTTTAAATATGGTGAAGAAAGATCAATTGTGTGCTATTGTACTCAAGAAGAGAAATTAAATTTCTAGAGTTTTACTCAAAATGGTTGCTATGGAAACCAGCCACAGCCTT